TATTTCATATAGCGGCATCTTAGTCTGACAACTGCTATAAATATATATAGACACATTTTTTTTTGCAAACATAGCTACATAATTTACATAGAAAACACCTATATACACTGATACAAACAAACATGAATACAATTTTGTCCCGTCCAATCGAACCTGCGACTATCAGAAGTAAGGCGGTGTGACACCGAGGCCGTCAAAGCAAGAAGCAACATTATGTTTAAAATTCAGCGCTCAGAATATTTTTGAGGTAGCCTTTGTATGAAGTGGTCTGGCCTGTGCCTCATTTAGTTTATCTGCTAAGCAGCTTGCTTTGTAAGATATATATAGGGGCAATAGTCACCACTGAGAGGGGATCGGCTTGATTGCCATTCTAATTACATAAAAATATCAAATTTCTAAAATTTTAGACGACTTTACATTAATAGATCATGCATGCATCTATATATTTCGCATACCTATAAACTGACACATCCCAGAATACTTTTCGTGGGATATACCCATATATATTTTATCATTCACAATTTATACAAACACAGGTAATCGCAGGGTAGGTACTAGGTACTATATATACACAATTACATCACCTGTTATATATCATACATCTCTTACGTATGTAGGCACGATAAGGATTTTTATTGTCTAAATTGTGTTATTCGTAAAACAAAAATAACTCTGATAAAGTCTACACATGTGAAGTATAAGGACCATAAAGACTCTGATTTTGAAATATAAGTCGCCTATAATTGTATGGTATAGGTAGATATTGTACAAAGTAGTCTCGAGGGCACTTCTGTCGCGTATTTAAGAGTTATGGAAATAGAAATAATCTTAATTCAAATAAACTCAAAGCATTTTTTAATAGTCAATTTTTTATTCTACCACTCATTCGGAACGCAGATTCATCACAAGAATAAGCAAGAAACTTGGGTGTTGCTCTTTTGAATAGATGTTTTTTTATATAAATAGTTATACAATAAGCTATAAGAGACATGCGATAATCATCTATGGAAGTGAACTTACAGAATACAGAGGCTTGACACCTTATTTCTCCAGAATAATATATGAGGCAATGGCAATCATTGGCGTTACATGACTACGTAGAGTCCGTGGTGCCGTTCATGTATTCCAGTATAAGTATAAGCTGCGGTGAATATCAGGATTGTCAGATTCATAAGGCAGGGAACAGCTGCATATGCAGTCGAATTAGTACTGTAAATTTTATACATTCTATTACTAGATATCGAAAAGATTTACTATCTTTACGATACCTGGTGATCTATCTCATGTCGTACATTACGGTCTATCGCAAGAGGTACATTTTATTCTATTTTTATATATACTCCTATATATGATACAATAAAGTAAAAGAATAGATTAAAGAGCAACACGCAAGTTTCTTGCTTTCTTCTATGAGACAGCTTTCCGAACGAGCGGTAGATTTAATGACTATTCAAAAGTGCTTCAATGTAAGTTTATTTGAATAAATATTTTCTATTCTGTTCTATTCTATTAAAATTACCATAAATTTAAACGCTCTTTAATATATTACACGATAGCTTGACACCTCTATTAAACCAATTTTTATTAATTTTCAGCAGTTCATTACAAATAAGGTCAAGATTATCAATGTATTAATCTTTTATTTGTGGTATAAAATTTTAAATCATATTAAAATATTCCATGTGAATTAGACAACATTATCAAAGCAGTATATACTAGGTAATGGATAGATAACATTATATTGCTCACAAGCACTTACAATAAGTAAAAAATGTATTCTGAATTCAGATCATAATCTTTTAACAAGCAATAACCCAAGTTATGTAGGTATTTAATATTTTTCACAAAAATAATAATATCTCACATCAATTTGCCGACTATACCAATAATCATTAAGTACATTTATGACGGCCTCGGTGCTCTAGCGATTTAGCACACCACCTTACTGCCAATGGTCGCGAGTTCGATTCCTCGCACGGCACAAATATACATGAATATTATTGTTTGTATTGATCTGGGTGTTTTCTATGTATTTTTGAAAAACAAATATATCTATGTATTTGTATCAGTTATACCTACAACACAAGCTTTAGTTAGCTTAACTTGGCTCTAGATGGCGCTGAGTGAATTGTCCTGAGACTATTATATTTATATATTTTAATACAACTGGTAAAGCAAACAATCTGACGGCCTCTAGATGACACTGAGGTTCCCACGCAGATGACTTTTTACAAAGTCTGCCTCGGTAGATATCTAAAAGATATTTATACACCGCCAAGTGCCATTCAATATTCAATCAAATAAACGGACTAATTTTGTTTACTGTATGACTGTATCACTTCCTGCGTCTGGATGTAAAGAAGGGTCATGCACATAATAAAATTGGGTACTTACGTCGATAGGGCTATTATATTAGTCTTTTGACTTGAAAAAATTGTGTTGTTGCTGGAATAGCTTACTGACAACCCTATGGAATGGGTTATTCATTTGCTATACCCGTAAAATCGCTTTACCCTTAACAAAAAAAACCCTATATAGAAATATTGGTATATCACCATTACATAGTATAAAACAAAGTCGCGGTCGCTGTTTGTCCGTCCCTATGTGTGCTTAAATCTTTAATCTATGCTACAGATTTTGAAGCGGTTTTTTTAAATAGATATAGTGATTCTAGAGGAAGGTTTATATATATAATACATAAACAACCGGGCGAAGCCGGGGCGAGTAGCTAGTTATATATATAGCCGGAATTATCTAGTAGTATTGGCTGTATGTAGTGTATATGTACCTACATTGTAGGTACTTTCAAATATATTCTAGACTATTGCTGTATGTTGTTATTGTTTTCATCTCTCATCTCTATATCACCTTGACCGGACTTACAAGATAAAGTATGACGTAAATGAACTCGTTGTATAGAAACAAATACACCCCAAATATATTTTTATGTTAGATCGCTAAAGTAAACATTTTATTTGAATTAAATGTATTTTTAGAATTGGATTTCAATGAACTGTTATATACAGTACCATACCTAAAAACATACTGGTTGTAATTGTTTTATATTTATTAAACCAAACTACTGAAACGATTTTGATAAAATTTCTATAGACAAATCCGAAAGCGTATAGCTTTCGAATAATAACAAGAATTATTGTTAGAGACAGATTATTGACATAAGACACATAAAATACGCAAACGGCCAGAGTATCACTTCTTTCATGAAGTCGGTTAGAAATAGGTAATTAAAATGTCAGAAAATGTTCAATAAAGAGGTTGCATAAAGCCTGCTTTCCATTTCTCACAATATAAAGGTTAAAGTTCATTGGCATCGATTATTTACATGAGGTCGTTTTAAAACAACGGAAAGTCTTAACTGAATGTGCCTTAAGAGCACGCAAAGCTAACCACCATTATTTTTACATTAGCATTTCAAAATTATTTGTTTAGGATCCAGTAAGATCGAAAACAGATGAGTTCAAGACCCCATCCGTCTTCGGGACTTCGTATGAAAAGTTTGATTTAATGTACTCATTATAAATATATTTATAATCTAAATTAAAAGATTTCATTAGAAAATGTCAATTCATAATTTTCCAAAATTTACAAACAATATTTTGCTATATTTGAATAGTTGACAGTGACTCCCCATAAGATAGTGATAAGGATGATAATATTTATGAACTTCTGTAATATACTATAAACTTTAGTAATGTTATTAAGATTTTGAAATATGTAAATGTTATATCCAAGATGACATCGGAAGTCATGCGCTGTAGACTCTACAGAGAGCGTGACATCTTGTACCCGTTCACCAAAGCGGTTCTTAAAAAGTTCAGTGAGCACCGAGCAATCAAAACACCCACAATAACATTTCTCTATAATAACGTGGTGATAGCATTTCAACACGCAAGCAGGTCAGTTTTTGTATGTTCAAGAAAATACTGACTTTCTCCTAATACCTTTGAAAGTTTTGTAACAACGCGTAAGTAAGGTAATCGTGAGGCGGATAGCGATTAATATAACCGTTAATACCTAATATAGTAAAGAGAACGGGTGAATTATTACCGCCGTTATGTTTCCAAAGGTTAGTTAAAAAGGTCAGGGAGATGATGCGGAAGTTGATGATCCATAAAGAGCTTAGATGATCGTAATTGTAATTAAGATATTATTAAAAGCAATATGATTTGTTGTTACAAAAGATGAATAACATCGCAGTGTCGAGATGAATTTGAGCTTGACAGGATGTTGGCTCGCCGCAGACACCGGTTGAGCTCGCAACAACATATACTTTTATATTATGCTGTATTAGGTCTGTATTATGTCTGATTACATTATAATCAAAATTTAGTTCATCATAGTTATATTAGACGTTGGGCTAATACCGGATTATTTATTCCAGGATCAGTTTAAAACTGCCTGATTTTCTACTAATATATCTAATATAGCTAGTTATTTTATTTCTTTCAGCAATTTATAAATTTTAATACAATACGTATAAAATATATTGGGCCTTACACTAGGCGTATCTGTAACGCAGGTGTCCACAGTTGTCATAGTCATAATATCAACTTTATAATACCTAGTAAATGGAACAAAGTATCTTTTACGCTATTGCTCTCATAAAAAATAATAAATTATTCACATTCGGCTCTTCCTACCTGACCATAACTGCCACAAGTTAGAAAGTTACTATGAGTATACAATAAAATGGTTTGTCATTATACGTAGTTGCTGCCAGTACCAAAGATTTTCAAACAATTAAAACGATCAAAGAACGTCTTAATTGTTTCCAAATGCGCCTAAGACACGTACCAGACTGGTTTTGAGCCCGTAAATCTAGTTTCGCGATTGCTGATACGGTTTCCGTTCAAGGGGCACCAAGCGACGGCACAGCTGAGGCGCGGCGGTGTCGGCCGATGGCGTCTGCATGTTTTTTTGTTGCACAGGCATGGAGACTCGGAGAGATCGCAGCGCTCGCGCCAGCCGGCCCCAACAGCGCCCGCCAGTCATCCGCCGCTCCCCACCGTGTGCGCGCGTCTTACGCCGTCGAATATTTTTAGTGCACCTGCTGATCGGCGAGACCGCACCGAATCGTCGACCGTTATCGCCCTAAATGACAGCCTAATGGACGAACGAAGAGGTAGTCCATGCATGCTTGTGTTAACGTAGTGAGAACTCGACAGTGGAGTGCAGTGTTGTGTTCATGCTGATATGGAGGAGGTTCGCATATCGGATTGGCCGGAACCACCGGGTTCGCATGCATGGCTCCCCGCTTATGGTTTCCAGCATGATATTATGGATAAAGACGACTATTTCTGCACCAATGGTGAGTGCCGCTCTATTTGAGTGGTAACATACAAACTGACACTGTAAATAATATCTAGTGGACCCAGTTGCGATGTAGAGTTGGCATAATTTTGTTTGCGTTGTAGTTTTTCCTGTATTTAGAGAAACTCCTTTATGTTCTGTTAATTTTCGGCAAGTCGTGCCATGCCAATATGATGAAACCATGCCATGTATGTTGCATGAAATGCATATTCAAAATATATCTGCATTATACATATTTAGTTATTATTTATACTGTGTTATTTATTATGTACTTGACTTCTGCATGGTGTTAAACGATCACTATTCTTTTACTTTCACAAAATATATGTGTTTAAATGTTTAAATTATGCAATTCTAACAAAATTATACCTTATTTCTGAAGTCTTAACACCCGTGGTAATTCCATCACGGGTGTTATTGTGTTTTTTTACCTATTTTGGTTCTAATATAATTGAAGTAGGAACTATAGAGTTCCTACTTCAACTTATATTAGCTTTTATGTCATACCAGTTAAATTAGAAAGTGTATATGTCCTGATATTCAAAACTAAATTTAGTGACTAATCTCTGTTTAACAGCTAGGTATGTAAGTATGATAAAATACTTATGGAGAATTGAATTTTATTAGTATATACCAGTAAGGAGATTTTAGAACGGTCTGTGTGAGTACAGTCAGTCTTAGAGCAAACTCTACATTAATTATTATACTTATACCTAGGAATAGCAATTATTTTAATGGATAGAAGATGAAATGGTACACCCGCCTGCGCTAACGGTATAACCCTAGCGGAGGATAAGTGGAGGTTAATAAGATGACCATGAAGTCAGGCCTGGTGGCAAATCACCAGTAATTAACCACAATGGTTTTCAGAGAGACCGCGAGGAGGTCGACCAGATACTATACATTGCTATTATTAATAAATAAACGTCCCCATTGTGAGTCATTATAAGGACTTGATAGACAATTGAATTATATAATTAGGTTATCTGATGCAATATTTGTCATTAAGTCCTTGTACCTAACGTAGTAAATCATCGTTATATAAATAGACGGATGTATAAATCTATACATATAAATAAAATTGGAGTGTCTGTTTGTAATATTGAAATAACCGTTTTTTACTACATGCATATTAATATAAATACGGCTGGACCTATTTTGACGGGACTTTTTTTGGCTGTTGTAGCCTAGTTGTAGCTGTTGTAATAAGAAGTAACTTAGACTACTTTTATTATAGAAAAATTCTTTTATTTTAGAAAAAGTTAAATACCATGCGGACAAAGTCGGAGGCACAGCTAGTATCACGTACAATTGCAGTATTACAAATAACGTATAAAAATAATAAAAAGACTGAAGTGATGGTTTTTAACACCATTTACTAATTTTTTTCAAAAACAGGTTTAAGTACCTATAAAGTACTTATGATTTCGTCATAAATTCTCAGATAAATGTTAGTTAATGTAGGTATAACAATTTTTTTTTATTTCTTAAATATTTTATCATTATGTTATTGAAATGTAAACAATTTTATTTTATGTAAATTATCATATAGTTAATTGTTCTACATTATCGCTTTTGGAATATTTAGCAGCAATTCTTGTTAATAACTTCCTTATCTACCATATGTATCATATCAAAACAAATTGCACATTGTGATAGAATATGTATATACAATTCAAGCAAATATTAAGTATTATATATATAACAAATGGTAAGTATATAATTCTTAAGCTGACAGTACCTATCTATGTTAGATTATTATCATAGCAAGGCCTAGAGTAATGAATGCGTTGTCAATAACGACTTTCAGGGACGTGACTTATGTATAAATAATCAAGATGACGGGGCCTATAGAAACAAAATAAGTTTCGTATGAAACTGTGCAACAGTTTTTTTTTAAACCAACAAACATTTCAAGCAAGCAATTCTTTGCATAAATTGATAAACTGAAGCAACGGCATGCGAAAGACTGCCTCAAATAAAAAAAACTACTACTAACTATAATAGTTAAGTTTACGTTTAGTTATTACATAGATTCGATTTTGGTATAATTCTCATATGGGCGGTGTCAACATCTGCGTACATAATAATCTTAACTATTTGTATTTACGTTTGATATTTATATTTGTTCTAAATTCAAAATACATGTTTTTTGACGGAGATAAAAACTCATTTTCGATATCTGATACTGGCAACTTTCTATGTACCTAACTGGTAAATAGGCTATCGAACCACTAGATGGAAATGGCAATCGTCTTCTATATAGATATATATACATGAAGAGCACCACGTACGAAGAACCATATGTTGCCATTCTTTCGAACCCTTCATTTCAATTACGAGAATATATAATGATATAATCTATACATCCTTACACATAAATAAAATTGGAGTGTCTGTTTGTAATATTGAAATAACCGTTTTTTACTACATGCATATGAATATAAATATCTACGGTACATACACCAAAATAACATTTTCTACAATTTTTGTCTGTCTATTTGTTTGTATCGTCTTATCTCTGAAACGATTTTGACGGGACTTTTATTGGCAGGTAGCTGTTGTAATAAGGAGTAACTTAGCCTAAGTTACTCCTTATTACATCACTTTTATTTTAGAAAAATAAAGTTCAATTCCACGCGGACGAAGTCGCGGAACAGCTGGTATAATATAATTTACAAAGTATTAATCAAAAATAGAAACGGAAATACATGTGAAATTGTCATATCGCAGGATGTTATGTTTTATTGCGATTCTAAAACTAAATTTAGTGAATGCACAGACTGCATGCACGCAAATATAAACGGTCTCTGAAATGGTACCGCAAATCTGTGGGAACTGAAGGCGCAAACTAATTTGCAAAGAAAGTGAGAGTAACTACTACGATTTTTTCAAAGGAAATAACCGCTATCATTCATTTTAATAATAGATTATATTACGAATTCTTAAATTGAGATAGCCAAGTCAGTGAAAGTGAGTAATTAGTGATAGGTATCTAGTAAATCATAGAAATATCGGATATCTGTTCGTTCACCTCTCTGATGCATATTAAATTTCAGTATGTCAACATTCTTATGATTATTTAGTTATAGCAATAGTTTCAAATCAATTTCGACACAACTAACTACACCTGTACGATGTTGTTCGAAAAGAAAAGAAAGTTGTAAGACTATTTCAATACTCATCATTAAACCAAGCCAGTGTGTCTCGTCTATACAAAACTAGCGACCCTTCCCGGCTTTACACGGATGCATTACAAATCTTTGAGTTTCTCGGCTTGTTCTATACTATAACGTATGTTTTATACATACATATATCTTCTTTTTCTTTCTACCTACCTCTTGAATTACTCTATCTGTAACTGAAAGCTGCATTAAAATATATTGTCTAACAGCGAACAGACGGTGGCGACTTTGTTTTATACTATGTAAAGATAATAATAACAATGTCATTTTTATATTAACTAATCCGTTTATTAATAATTATAAAGGAATAGAAGTTTAATTTAATTTGATCATTTTCTATATTCCTATACAGAATTATAAATTTGAGCCCGTTTAAGATATATTATAGTCACTATTCATTAAGTAATAATTATCAAAATAAAATCAATGTTTTTAAAATATTAAAGTTTAATGTCATATCAGTATTTTCATTATCTATAGATGAATTAATCAAGGAATGCTTTGCACACAAAAGAATGTATGAAATTCCTTAAAGCAGTTTAAGGAATTTCATTCACTCATTCATCATTCATTTATGGAATACTTAATTAAAGAACTTCGATTTGAAAAATTTGCAATGAAAAAAGGTATTATGACTAAATTAAATTAATTCATTTATAATCAAACATAATTAATAGCTGTTTAAAAAAAAACATTGTAAAGGCTTAAAACACCAGATCAATGCCCTCACGCATTATATATTCATACGTTTTACATACAAAATGAGATTATGTGACGTCACTTTGGTGTTTAGCCATCCATCACGGCTTTCCACAAGAATTATTCATATAGTAGGTACAAATTATTCACTGTTAATGACCAAGTCATGGTCATTTTGAGTAGCGGTAGCTAGAAAAAAAGAAAAACGTCTTTCATTAGTGATTTTGTGGTAAACGTAATGATATGTTTTAATCCATGTGGCAACATTTTTCGTAAAGTTATATTTATGTTTTATTTACAATAAATAAAACAAACAGACTATAAATAAAACAGACAGTCTGGTTATTGTTTGCTTTCTATTGCTAAATACAGAGGACTACACTCTTATTCCTTTCTTATATTATAGAAAGTTTCCTTTATAACTTATGATTTTGTTATTGTTAATTGACAGGTAATAAGAAAAGTATGTTCTTCATTGGATTCGTTGATTTTAAAATGATTGATATAAAAATAGAATCTAATTAAAAAATACAGTATTTTATTGTAAATCTGGAATATATACGCTGTATCGATAAAGTTAGGAAAAATATTAATTTTAAAACAAGTTAAAGAAAAATTATGTCTGAACCTATTTAATATTAAAAAATAATAAAAATTAAGCCCCTGTGGTAGTTCCGTCAAGATGCTGCGGGGGCGTTATAGCGCTGTATATAGCCATAAAATGGTCTAACTTTTGGATGACTCAACCAAGAGTATAGGTTTTTTCTTCATGTTTTACGAGGTTGAAAGATAACTTTTTAATTTACCTCTCAGGTTTTAAACATTTTTTTTTGAAAAGAACATTGTTCATGTAGTTAATACCTACATGTGAAATAAATATTTGATTTTCTTATTTTATTAGGAAATATTCGACATTCTTTTTATCTGTATTAGAAATTCTATTGATAGTTCACATGTTTGATATATTATAACTTATTTTACTTGTATGGTTAATATAAATAATGCATTTGCCAAACACAAGCGGTAAACTGTTGTTTTTTGCTAGCTAACCTTGTAATTCTAATCTGCATAGATTATACGGGTATCTGTAGTTATGTCTAGACTGGTTCGTGTA